GGGGGGGGGGGGGGAGAGAAGGAGAGAGGAAAGTGCCGACGACAGAAGCTCGTCGTGTAGAGAGATAGAGGCAAAAAGATCGAACACAGCCCCAAGCGTGACCGCTGAGGTGTTAATAATGCCACCTCCGGGGACTCGGGTGCAGTCGTTTCCGTTTCACGGATAACCAGGCACATCCGCGCCGACTGCGAAATTTCCTCTGCGAGTCCTCCCGGACGGAGTGTGCGAGTGTACACGAAGTTCGACAAATAAAAGAAAAGATGACGGCAAAGCGTAACGAGAGCGTTATCATCCGGCGAGAATCGTGTCGTCGGGCACACTCATTAACGCGATGGCGAGAAGCCTTTACGGGAATGTCGCGTTGCGAATTAGCGGTGAATCAGCGGGAGACGGCAGGGAAGGATCACGGAAAGCGCCGTGCGCGGTTGATTTGCAGCCGGTTGGATTTTTAATCCTTCGGCAATGTTGAATTTAACATCCTCACACAAACATCATCTCATTGTAAGTTTTTTTTTAGGAAGAGATACCGAATCCCGTCATCGAGTAGTTATTCTAAAAGACATAATCAAAAAATTGATGAGGCCTTCAAAAGCCCAGTTTGCCGGCGGAGCGTTAACCACGCCGAGATTAATTTTAGCATTTTTAAATAAGCACGAATGAGAAGGATGCGAGATACGCGAGTCGACTTTGATTCGCGATTAGAACTTGATAAAACGGAGACCGCTAATGGAGACGTAAATGAAATCCTGGCAATCGCCCGTTCTACAGTCCAACCGACGCGCTGTAATAAATTGTTGGCGCGTTCTCTTTCTCTCTCTCTCTCTCTCTGTCCGTCCCTGGAAATACGAATCGTTACCTCTCCCCGAGAACGAGTCTATCCGTAAATTATCGCGAGTTTACGTGTTCTCTGCGCGTCGATCTGCGCGCGTACGTGTGTGCATACATGTTTGCGTGTATGTGCAAGAGCACAATTTGCGGCGCCCGTTCAAATGTAATTCCCCGCGCGCTAACGACGCACGTTTTTCTTTCAATTATTGGCGTATTTTTTAACGGGGTCCCAGCCACGTAATTACGTTTCATTTTATCCGAGGGTTGCCGCGGCGCGCGGTGTCGGGCGGCGTGGCCGATCGATTTCACGGCGTGGACTAATGAATCAAATTAATGAACGAAACCTTATCGTTCTCGGCCGGTCTTCGGCAATTGTTGCCCCCCGTGAGTGACGATGACGTGCCCTTCAAGTTGCGCGCGTAGTCGAGCGAGATGATCGGAGGGTAAGGGGGGGGGGGCCTTGACTTCGGTTTCCTTCGTTAGAGGTTTCCGAGTGTAGATTTACCGGCGATTACGCGACCACGACCGATCGCAGAAGGAACATTCGTCGAACTTACCGTTATTCGTGTCTTTTTTTTGCTAGATCAACATAGATGCGCCCCTCTTTTTAACTGATTATGATTATACGAAAAAATCAGCATCGCGGCAAAGTGGCTTCGACACTCCTATATTTCGAGATATTTGCTAACAACACGCCTTTTTTTAGAGAACGAACTCGCCCGTCATCCGTCATTCTTCGTGACGGAGAACAGTAGTCGAGCGCTCCGGCCTCGCGAGCGCATCGATATTTTACGCTGTAAAAAGTGCGACAGGAGTCCGGCCGGATTGATATATTCTCCTCGAATCGGTCCGTGGAGTTACAGCTCCTCAAAAGCAGCGCCAAACGCATCGTCGCAAAGTCCGGAGACAATTTGAGGGGAAAAACCGGGATCCGGGACGCGAAGACGAGAGACCCTTCGGCTGTTTCTCCGGCTTTTTCTCCTCTTTCTCCGCGTCTTCCGCGAATAATACATTAGGAGGACGCACGGGCGCGAGACACGCGGGGGGCTTTTGACGGCCGAGCCACTCTCGACGCGCTGTCGTCGCAGCCGCGGAGCCGAGGGATAAACGAAAAGGAACGCGTTTCCTCCTTTTTAGTCGGCGTTTTATTGGACCCGATTAAATTCGCCGGCGAGCGGCGGAGCAGCGCGCTCGCACGCGCGCTTTCGTCCTCAGACGACGATGACGATGGCGGCGACGACGACGACGACGATGGTTCTGATCCGACGGGTACAAAAACGCGGGGAGCGGCGAACGGAAGGAATCGACCTGACATTCTCAGGAACCAAGAGCAACCCCCCTCGTCCTCCCTCCTCTCCCTCTTTCTCCCGCCTTCTTCCGTCCTGCTTCCGTCTCATTCTTCCGCTTTCTCTCTCTCTCTCTCTCTCTCTGACTTCTTCTATCTCTACGGGGAATTGCTTTCCCTCCCATTGTCCTGCGCGAATGCTCCTTTCCCATTCTAGAATTCCGAGCTGGTTTCTCTCTCTCTCTCTCTCTCTTTCGCGATACCCGCGCAGTTATTCGACGCGCCCTTCCTCCGGGCGTCCTCAACGACGGCGAAAGAGAGAGAGAGAGAGAGAGAGAAAGAGAGAGGAATAGAGAAAGAGGGAAAGAGGACAACAGCTTGGAGCGTCGCGAAGAAATTGGAGGCAAAGGTCGTTTATTTCGCGCGCGCGCGCGAGTTCCGCTCCGCTCCCGCGATCGCGTCCCGTTCCGTCTCGATTCTCCTTCTTCTCCCGGCCAATCTATGTAGCGCGAAGGAATCTTCCTCGGGGAGGCTGAGTGTGCCGTACTATGCGTAATCGCGTATCACACTTATAATATCGCGTGCTTCATTTGTCACCGAACGCACCGAGTCAAGCTCATGGCGCGCATACACGAAGCGTACCCTTCCACGGGGAAAAGAATCAGCTTCCACAGCTAAAAACTAGTTGTCCATGTGTTATAACTGAAATTTCGTTACCGAACAGAGAGATTTTAGCTATGGAAGCTAATCGTTACGACTATACTCGCACACGGGAAGGAGAACTGGCTCCCACAGCTAAAAACTGGGTCTGCTAACTGTATTTAAGTTATAATTAAAGTTCAGTATCACACGGACAGCTAGTTCTTAGCTGTGGAAGCTGATTCTTTCCTTCCGTGCACGGTCGAAGAATAACCGACTGCGACTGGTCAATCTGCTTACCGCTCACGTCTTACTTCTCGCGTTCTTGCGCGCACGGAAGAAAACGATTAGTTTCAGCGGCTAAATTAATTGTAACATATGGACACTTAAAGCTTGAGCATTTGTAGGCAACTTTAATTTGCTGCAGCAGCAAACTCTTGTGCCGCAGCAATTAAATTCGCATAGCACATGTAATGCCGTAGTCTCCGATTAATCAGTTGGTCATCGCTTTACCCGGCTTGATCGTTTCGATTTTCCGTTTCAGGGGTCAGCGAGGCGAACGTGCAGCTGCAACAGCCGAAACTGCCGTCTGCGATCCGCGTGGGCAGCGAGATCGAGCTGCGGTGTCACGTCGACGGCTCCGGCGACATGACATACGAGTGGTCCAAGTTGGTTATAGAACTTTTTCTATTTACCTACCTGCGCGTCGTGACGCGATAACGCGGGATCCGACGGGGCAAACAAGAGGGTGGGAGGGAAGGAGGGAGGAAAGGGTGGAGTAGCAGCAGGTCGGTAATGCCGGGGAAGCCACCGGGATGCGAACAACGACGCGACGCGCCGCGCGGACGGCGAGCCGTGACAGAAGAAGGTGCGGGGGGGG